TCTCTCAGTCATTATTCCCACACAAAAATTGGATTCAAAAATAACTTTTATTATGCTTTGAATTAAAGTAAATTCAAATGAAGTTTTTGGGATAAAAACTTAATTTTACAAAAATTTATGATAAATATTGTGTTGGAATTAATAGTAAACTAATACCGAAAACATATATCGATATATAATTATAGGGAATTAATACAAAACATTATTTTATTGATTGAGTGATTGTTATCGATATTTAATAGGAAATGCTTGTCAAACAGAATATATCCTAAATAAACTTTATATAAAGCACTTCATTATCGATATGTTATTAACTATGCATTTATATAATAATTGTATTTGTTTTACTCACACAACACACGAAACATTTTCATAATGCAATTGATAAGAAATATTAGTTTTAAAAGTCCGACAGAAAACTGATACAGAGATATGAGTTCTCGTTTTAATTGTATTTTTCAAAATAAAAGTTTAATAAACTTTTTTGAAACGATATATTCTCTCATTGTTTGCGATTCTAATCGATTTGTTTTGAGAAAATACAGACATCTGTTTGTTATGCAGGTATTGCTGAAGAGTAACCTATAATTCAAATGCTAATCCCAGCGTAATATAATGCCATGTGATAAATGAGTTAATATTAGTATAGGTTAGTTAAGGCAAATGTATGGACAAATCGTGTACACAATTAATCTCGTATACAAAACACATACCAGTAAAATACCTCACAGTATAATAAAAAATACACTAACAATTCAATGGCTTCAATACATAGTAATAATGAAATGCAGTTTTATTTTGTATTAATTTAGTTCCTAAACGAAAAATACATCTCTTTAGACACGAATCGCTACAAAAAATAATAACATAATGTAAAAAAGTAAATTCAAAGTTGTGTTTTAGTGTGTGTTTTGTTTGTATTTTCTTAACATTCAATTCTGTGTATTATATAATTTGCAATTCAATTCATGTGTTAATAACTCAATTCCGGAGTTTAAATCAACTGAGTTTTACAATGCATTTCTGGATGACATTGAGCTCTTAAAAAACAACTATTATATAATATGTTAGTCTAGTCTTGTTTTATGCAAACAGTAGTACTGGTGTAGACATAGGTATAGAGAAAAAAGTAGGTGTCATCAGCACCGGTATGTCATTATGTCATAATCGTCTACCGAGTCCTCTCTTTTTTATATTAATGATGGCATTAATTCATAGCCTCCGGTGTTTAAGGCTCACTATTTTTGAACTACTATTGTTGTGATGATAACTATTTTTTTCCCACAATAACAGACATTAACCGAAAGTCAGTTATATTTTTATTGTCCGTTAGATTGTATGCAAACATTTTTGCAATTCGTTGAATAATTTCACTCTTGATATGCATTTTTCATATTATTTAATCATCTTTTCCATGACTTAATTATACAAATTTAATTCAATGTTTTTATCGCTAAACATATTTAGATGCATTGACTGTCATTATGTATAAACATTTATTGCATAAAATTATTATCATTTCTTACTAAAAATTGAGAAGTTTTATATTTATGATATATTGTATATGTTTAAGCGATTGAATATAATTATATAAAATGTAAATTCAGTTTATAATTTAAATGTTGTGTTGAGTTCTAACTTTCAGCCAAACCTACTTTTATAAATGTCTATAATTTAAATGTCGTAATATTGTGGACATTATTTTGTAATAAAAGTTTTGAATATATTTCGCAAATAGCAATAACACCTACAGTTTCCTGGCTTACTGTAGGACTGGTTGTTAAACTTAATATAACTGACATATTCACTAAATTTAAATATATAAAAGTAAAATAATACTATAAAAATACATTTAAATCTCATTTATAACAGAAATAAAATCATAAAACCCGAGATATAAATGATAAATGAACGCAATTATGCATAAATTGCTTATATTTTATGATTTTATTGTTATTTTCACTCATTTATTAAAAGCAATTCTCCGAAGGGATTAGAAACAAACAAATTTGCATTTCATATATCATTATAGGGGGTGTCCTAACAAATGCCTATCTATGGCATTACAATAGCGAGTATTTTGATGGGCATAGGGTGTCACTGATCACTAAATTAGTTTGTAATTAAATTACAAAGATGTCTATTATATGCCATTTAGAAATTAAAAATGCATTACTTATGCAACAAAGACAATGAAACCCAACAAAAGAGTCAACAAAACAACAAAAGAGGTTTAATTAAAATTAATTGCATAAAAAATTACCATTTGTTGAAAGAAATGAATCCACAGATAAGAAAAATAATGTTATTCTCATTTGTTTTAGTGATTTTGAAAAATGACATTTCGCTATACATAGTAATATCGTATATAACTTACCATTAATTGTATTCATGAACTAAATTCGGTTTCTTAAATGAATTGCCATTTTTTTACTGTTTGTTTTTGCTTTAATTGTGGATTTATTTTAAACACAATTTTTATTTCTTGTGTTAAGCTTTTAAAAAGAAATGTCATTTTTGTTATTTTGGAAATTATAAATATGTTTTTTGTTTGTCATTTGTTTTTCGGTGTATTTCTTCAATCACTATATGTATTATAAATAAGGCTTTAAATACAATTCATTTTGTAAATGTGTCTCAAATTAAAAATCATTTTCGTTGTAACAAACTTTTTAGTAGTGATAATAAAATTAAAAGTTTTATTACATTCACTGTATATTTAATGACTATTTATAACCGCATAATAATGGGATTTGAAATAAGTTTTTATTGCAATAGATTTATATATTTAATGCCATTGGAGTTATACTACAAAACATTAACCCATAATAAGCTTATTATCATTTTATGCAATATTTTTTATGTGTAATATTAAATGCAGGTATTATTAGAGTTAACATACGATATATTTTACTGGAAAAAGTTAATTATCGATTGACAACACAAATATTTGTTTAATATTTGTATATAATTTTGCATATAGTGTAATTAATGGCAGGATTATTATAATGCAAAATAAAAGTCAGTGAAAACAATGTTATTTCAATGTTTAGAATAATATATTATATTTACAATAAAAAGTGTTTTTAAAACAAAATTATTTATTATAAAAAACATATTTTCCAAGAATTTATAAAAGAAAGTTTTTGTATTGATTTTTTGCAAAGACTTAAATAATGCTCAATAGGTGTTACTCTTTATTCTGTTAGCAGAATATATTTTCCCAAAACATTTCGTTGAATTATATAAGAATATTATATAAATATTATTTACTTTAAATATTTTATTAATTATAATATCAATGGAAATATTTTAATCTCTCTCTCTCTCTCTCTCTCTCTCTCTCTCCAAATGCATTTCACGTGAAAGTATTGAATGCAATCGCAAAGTAATGCTTAAAAGTTATCCTCCGCTCCAACTCTTTGCTATAAAATATTTGCAAATCTGAATAAAGTGTAGAATAAGTTTCAAAATAGTTTTATTTCGGTTTCTGCCACTCGTTTCTCAATATATTATAATAGTTTAGATAAAATATTTTGTTGTTTCTCTACATTTCACTCCCTTTCACTTTTCACAGTATATCTCATGAAAATCTAATAGGATTTTCATGTTTTGACAATTCAAACGAAGCCATCAGTGAATTTGCGATCAAATAAATGTTATTAGCCTTTCATACCATTTATATATATTATGTAATCTAAGAGCACATTCCCGGCTAAATACCAGTGCCAGCGCTTATGCATTATGAATGATGAGCTTATATTTGAGTTAAAGCATTACATAAGCATCAAAACAGGCCATTCATATGAGTTGTACACAACGGTCGCTGCTCTCTCTCTCTCTCGCTCTCTCTCTCTCTCTCTCTCTCTCTCTCTCTCTCTCTCAAAGTCGGCCCCAAAACGGTTATATAATTACTCCCTTTATATGTTATGCCATTTGTTTTGAGCCGCCGATGCCTACAGAATACATGACAAATCCCTAAGTTTGCACTTAAAAGCAAACAAAGACACAATCGCTGTCTTTAAAAGATTACATTTTTGTGGGGGAAATAAAAATGCTCTCATTCTTCATAGTTAGCGCCAAATGAACGACAAGTTTTTGATATTTATTAAAATTAGTCCCAAAAAACAAAACAAAAAAGATATTCAACAAAGTTATCGTTGCTATGATTTATATATATTCTGCAAAATTCCGTAAAAATTACACATTTTTAATATGCCGTGAAATTTATACACAGACACAGAGTTGTGATAAATACCATTATAAATATGTGTGTGTTTTATGGATTTGCGAGCAGTTTTATTAATCCATTTAATAGCATCAAAAAACACATAACAAAACATATATAATGTATAAAATTGAGAATAATGTTCAGTAAATGAGATGAGAATTGGAAGAACATGTTTGAGGAGAAAAGTTGTTTATATTTTGTTTCTCTCGACAAAAAATACAAAATTATAAATCGAGGCATAAGTTGCTGTTAAACAGTATTTTATTTGACTCAATGATGCACTGAATTAAATGTTTCCGTTGGGCTCTTCGTTACGCTCTCACACGAGTAGTTTATTTCTTCAAATATAGCTCTCTCTCTCTCTCTCTCTCTCTCTCTCTCTCTCTCTCTCTCTCTCTCTCTCTCANCTCTCTCTCTCTCTCTCTCTCTCTCTCTCTCTCTCTCGGATAGAGGTTTAGTTATGCTCTAACTTCAGCCAATATAAGGCAAAAAAGGCATTATATGAGTACCATTTCTCGGAGCAATAACTATGTCTTACGACTTGTTTGGGTCATCACATCTCACGAATCGCTTCAATAAATCTTATAAATTAGTTTTCCATATCTATCGCAAAGGGTTGACCGAAATGCCCGGCATTGATGAACGCATACCAAATCCCTACTCTCATTAAAACTCATTTAATTTATGCCATAGTTTTAGTTGGAAAACAAGCGTATAATTTATATAGTTTTGTCACATTATTCTTGCAGTTAATAACTCATAGAAACCAATGACAAAGAAGAAGAAAAAGACCACAACATCGACGACGACAACAACGGACCCAAAGCAAGTGGACGTACAAACAGAGCCGACACATAATTACTTGAAATGCCTTCTCGATAGCGCTGGCGCTCAATATAAGGGCTCACTGTTTGAACACGAGTGCAGAATAGGAATATACGGCTGGAGAAAGAAATTTCTATACATTTTAATCATATTAATAGCAGCGCTGGTCGTATTGAACGCCGCGCTAACCCTATGGATCATATCTGTGCTCAATTTCTCTATGGTATTCACTGCCATCCCTTATCACTCACTCTCTATTCCCTTCACTTGTATAGCAATTAATAAATTTTGATGAATTATTTGCAGAATTTTGAATGAAATCTAATATTTTATGTATAATTTTTTTGGGTCTAATTTATGTAACTATCATATTCTTATGGCATCCATAGAGTGGTTTGGCAAACATGAGGGTAGACTCGGATGGCCTCACACTCAATGGCAACGCTTATATCGACGATCATTTATTTGCCACATCCATCAGCTCTAGAAAAGTATTACATTTCACATATCTTTTATGTAATAAAATATGCAAAACATTTATTATATATCTTCCAGACATTGAGTTTTCTTTTAATTAAATAATTGTACTTTTATTAACCAATTAATTTCCTTCACATATTGTCTTTAAATTAAAATTTTATATACAATTTCTCTTCAAAACATGCATTTATAGAAAAAATAATATAAAATTAATTATGTTTGCTGTGTTAATGTGTGATTATGAAAACTTTCATATATTTTTTATCAGTTGTTTTTACTGAACTAATTATGGTTTGAGGAAAATATATTCAATTTCAGTATTAGTCTAATAGTTATAAGAGTGATTATGAGAAAGTTTTTTATTTTCACACAACTATTATTAGAGTAAACCATAGTTTGCATTCACTTTAAGTGTATATTCAGTACATCTGTATAATTGTTTGATAAGATGGGAATTAAAAATACCTTTTTCTCAATTTGTCACAACATATAAGATATGTCATATTTAGGGCATTGAATACCTGTCAGTAGAAGTACTTGTATTTATTATTTTAAATGATATTAATTCAGTTACAAATAAACGCAGATATAATATAAATGTCCTCTAAATTCTCAGAGCAATAATTATTAGCAATTTTCTACAATTTATATATTAAATGCAATCATTGATCGATTTGTTTATATTTATATTAATATCAAAAACTAATAAATTTATGGATTCGTTGAACTTTTTAGGGCCAGAGTTTGAGACTTATATCTGACGACAACATCACTCTTATCGCCAGAAGCAGAACCGATGGAAAGGTTACGAATAAACTATCGATCGGTAATTCAAGATTGCGGGCCATCTCTAATGACTTCCGTATTTACGGCAGAGACGGGCGGCTATTGTTCGGCGCCAATAGAGACAAAGTGACCGTCGCTACAGACACTCTCCAAGTGGACAGTATGTGGGACTATACACTTGAAATATGCATTTGAAACACACATTATCCGCTAAATTTCTATAACAATATTTAACATAATATTAGTTAACTTAAACACATAAGGTTTTAATGTGTTTCCTGTGTTTGCTATTATATAAATATTTTCACTAAAGTTTTGCTCAAACATTTGATTTGCGATCAGATTTAAGTGGATTGCGATTCTCGCGATCGATCCAAACGCCACTAATACAGTCGACCGGACACTCAGACCTCGGACTCATATCGCCTGAGCGTCGGGTGACAGTAATGGCCCCAATAAGTGTGGCACTGGAGTCACGACTGGGCGATGTGTCGGCCATCAGTTTACAAGATTTACGACTCAAGTCACGGCAGGGAAAAGTATGTTTATTAGCGACTCAAACTATATTAACATTAAACACATATGTATTTAGTTATGTTGTGTGTGTCTGTGTTTCGGTACACAAAACACATACACTATATATACAATACAGTAAATATAATGATAAATTTGTTGCTATTTTGGGCACTCAATTACCATCTCTTCGTAGATAACGTTAGAAGCAATGGATATACAATTGAGAAATCTAAAGACAGCGCTTCCGACGCAAAAATCTCGCCACAATATCCGCTCAAATGTGTATCAGCTGTGCGTTTGTGCTGACAGTGGAAAGCTGTTCACCGCACCCGCCGATAGTGTTTGTGCCGCAGACGACACCATTTGCGGACAAAAGCATACCTTCAAAACAATTATCTCTTGATTATACAGTTTAATGCCGCAAGCATTTTGAAAATGTCATTTTGTGTTTTTGTTTTTACTGTTATCTCTCTCTCTCTCTCTCTTTCTCTCTCATTTAAGGTAAGACAATACATAGTGTACCTGTTCATTTTAAACAATATTCCGTATTTGAGTTAAGAATATATTTGTTATTAATAAATTAAATTAAAATATTTTACCATATTTAAAAGTTGCAGTCAAACATTTTTTAATTAACAGACAATTAAAATATTTTGTAAAAGTAAATTTGTCATATGGGTTCTTAATGCATGTATATCAAGGTAAAAGCACAACACCCATATGAAAATAAATTAAATTAATATACTGTAATATTAAAAATATTATAAAAACAATACAAAAATACTCACAAAACGTTTGAAATGAAGGCAATACTCGATAAATGTTTCGCTTCTCATGTCGTTATTCAAAGTGAAAGGAATTCATCGGAAAATTACTCATTGAAAGCGTTTATTAAATAAAATAATTGTTTCATTTATGAGACTAGAAATACATCATATTTTTATTATGAATATCATTTTTGACGATTGATTTCCACTACAATATCATTATAAGGGTATATTTGTCAGCACATATTGCCATACAATTGTGATATGAATATAACAATCACGTTATAATGTGTACATGTCTTCTTCCACAGCAATTATCGACACTAATATTAGGATAATTATTTCAAAATGGTTTTGTTTGATAAAAATATTATATCCACTTATAATACATGTCAAGAGAGAAAATAACAAATAAAAATTCCTTTTCAATAGAAAATGATTGAAACAAATGGTTATACAAGTAATGAATTGATTGGAAGGACAGAAGAGAAATGACGGGTTGACTCAAACGTAACACATAGTCGTGGGGTTGGGATAGAGAAAAGTCTAAAAACTGAAATAACAAGTATTTCGAAGAGAGAGAGAGAGAGAGAGAGAGAGAGAGAGAGATAGAGAGATAACAG